AGATTTCTACAAGCACAGCTTCCAAATTGCTGTAGCATAACCTAAACACTATTCCCTTTGTTCTTGGGACATTCCTGTGAAGTAGCCAAAGGGCAAGCCAGGTCCTTCTGCTTCCACACAGGTAGAGACCAAGGGTGAATCATCAGGCCTAAGGAGGAGAGAGGAAACAAGAGTGTGACTTGCCTAGTGTATATCTCCTGCTTCACTCCTCTACATGGCATTCTTCTATCTCTCCCCAGGGTCACACTGGGTGATTGTCACAGTCAGTGGCCCCAACACCTAGTAATCATCTAAGCACTCGGCCTAATTTTTTGACTCCTAATAAGGCTTTGCTTTGAAATGTTTCTGACAAGAAACTACTCAAATGACTAGACTATTTCTGAGGGAACTATAATTTTTTATTTGAGTTTAATATTCTATCAAAAAACTATATTTCCAAGGAAACACTGTCCTGTGTTCTGGGCACCACTTCAGGTCCTCTGATTCTAGCTTTACATTGCTTGTGAGCCTTTTGAAATAACTTTGTAAGTTGTACATCACTGATAGACATGCTCAGTGTTTTGAAAAACAGAGGTTCAGTGGTCCACCCTCTCACGTTGTAATAAAACCAATTTACCTCCATTTACATATTCATGTCAATATTCCTTGTCAATAGTCGTATCTCCCTTCTTTGTATTCTCTTTTAAGCTAGTTTTAACATCTGTTTTTTTTTTCTTATGAGCTTCATAGAATCTTTATTTTTTAAGTCTGAATCTGAAAGCAAAATATACTACACAAACCTGCTCTTACTCCTTAGTATCCTCCACCAATACTAAGGGGAATCCATGGCTGCAAATGTTCATGTCCAAAATTTGGGAATCACTCAAGATATTTCCTCTGCCTCATCTCCATATTCAATCAATTGTCTCAATCATTCTGCTTCCACATCCCTAATATTGCTCCAACAATTCACTCTGACTGTATCAATTCAAGTCATTATGACTGTCACTTTGGCAACTGCAGCAGCCCACTTACTGGGCTCCCTATTTTTCCCCTCACTACTAGCCAATCATTTTTCAGAGTCATTAGTTTTTAAAACTAAATCTGATCATGAAACTGTTACTTAAAACTTACCAGTGCCTTCCCTTTGCCTCAGGGGTAAAGCTTGAAATGCTGGGATGCTTTTTCCTTCACCTGCCTTCTCCACCTCATGTACTAGTTTTCAATATAAGCCTATGTTTTGGAAATCTTTGGAAATCTTTGCTTCATCTCTCAGACTTGGTTAGATTCTCTCAATATCCCCTCACACTGGCTGCTTAACTTTTACTTTGTGGGATTTATTTTAAATAAAATAAATATATGACTGATTATCTGTTTCATGTCTGTCTATTCAAAGATGACAGGGGCCTGTCCACCTTATACTACTTTATCCTCAGAGATCAGCATGTAGTCTGAAACACAGAGCATACTCAATAAATACTCATTGCATCCAAGAATGAAATCATACAAACACAACCTTAAATCTTGGCTCCTCTGGTAGGCTGTGGTCACAATTTCCCTCTTTAGTAAGATAAAGAGAATATTACCAGGGACATTATGGAAATGAAATCCTATGATGTCTGTCACAGTGCCTAGCACAAAGCAAGTGTTCATGGAATAATCATTATTACTACCAACATTACGACTAGAATGGAAGCAAGAAGTGCACTGTGAGGTCCAGACAGGCCAAATGACAGGCTTCAGGGACATCCCAGAGCAGAACAACCTTGGTGTCCTCATCTGGGGTTCACACCAACATATCCTCCAAGGTCCAGTGACTTGACCAAGTCCCTGCTGAGATTAGAGTAAACTCAGGGAGTTTCAATATAACTAAACTCACCCAATACTAAAGCTCATAGATATGGTGTTGATTATTCATTATGAGATAACTTTCCAATAATGTATGATCCATTTATATAAAACATGCACAACAGGCAAATCCATAGAAACAGAGAAGTGGTTGCTGGGGCCTAGGGGCAGGGAAAACGAGGAAATGGGGAATAATTGCTAATGGGTAGTAGATTTCTTTTCAGTGTAATGAAAAGGTTCTACAATTAGCTAGTGGTGATGACTGCACAAATCTGAATATACTAAAAGCTACTGAATTGTATATTTTTAATGGTGAAATATATGTTATATGATTATATAACATTTTTTTAAAGAACAACGCTCCAGTGACTGCACAGCTGTTTCCACCTTCTCTTCCCTCATGCCAAACTCTACTAAAGCCAAATTCATTCATGTTTGTTCAGTAAGCACAGATTCAGAGCATACAGGATTACAGAGTCTCAGTAAACTATATATTTAACGAGGCCCCAGGTAACTCTAATAATCATCAGAGAATTTTGAGGATACTGGTCTACGCACTGATGGCCATCATTGCTATCCCTGGCTTTCCAAGCATCCCCTGAAGGTAGATGATTATACGATTTGTCCATGAGACTCAAAGCAAAGTGTATTAGGGAGATTTCTGGGAAAGTTATACTTAGTAATAAAAGAAGAAAGATATTTTCCTTTCCATCTTCAGTCTTTATTCCTGCCTTGAATACAGCTATGATGGTTGGGACTGAAGTGGCAATCCAAGCAAAAGACCAGTAGATTTTCAGGTATATCAATGCCGCCATTGTTGAAACAGTGCCAGCAACTGCCTACTTCTGGTTTCTTGCTAAATGAATGAAACAAACCTTATGTTGTTTAACCTTGTCATCAGGAGTTTGTTCCATGCATCAAATACATTCCTAACTATATGACAGATCCTTACATTTGCCTCTGTGACACGCTCTAGTAAAGGGATGGCAAATCTTTTAGAGCTTTCAATGGTACAAACAGCCCACTGTGGCACACATGCTATAGGTTTGCCACCACTGCCCTAGTCTATGTTCCATTTATAAGGGCTTTTTCCCCAAAGGCGAATGATTTCTTCCTCAGATATATTAAGGCAGTAACTGAGTATGGACAAAACCTCCATAAATGGCTGCCATCTCTCTAACAGAATCACCCTCACTTTCTTTTTGCATGTCTCTTTATCATTTAACTCACAAGACTTATATTTTTCCAAGTCCTTGGGGATATCTCACAGATAACTGTTTTTAGCCTGACATTTTCCAAGATAGCATTTATCTTCCTGAATGGAATTTTGTCTGAGAAATTATAACAAGGGTTGGCAAACTCTCAGTGTAAGGAGTAAGATAGTAAATGTTTTAGGCTTTGTGACCCTTATGTTATCTGTTGCAACTCTGACATTCTGACTCCCAGCCAGTCACAGGCAATGTATGACTGAAACAGTATCATGTTCCAATACAATTTTATTTACAGAAAATAGTCCCCAGATTACGTCCAGGAGGCATTCTTCACTATCAAAAACTTGAGAAACATGGATCTAGTTATAAAAATCAAATATGTTATCACTTCCTCCACTTTATCATTGTGTGTCTGCCACTTGGAAAAAGAGTAAACTAGGAAATGTGTATAAACCGGGACCAGAGCAGACTTATCTTGGCCAATACCCATTTCTGTTATAAGTCCTTAGAGAATAAAGGTGTTACAGTATTTATTATATATTGTCTACCAGAAGTTGTGGGAGGCACTTAAATATAAATGTTAACCTACCAAGGTTCAAGAAATCTACTTAAAACTCTAATATCTTAAGAATCATAAGTAACATGGATAAGGGAGATAATTCAGATATGCAAGTATCATGGGACCCCATCATGACTTAAGACGTTTTACCATCCAGTCTGGAATACAGTCAGAGGAAGATAAAATTTATGGCGTGAAGCAAATAAAGTGTACTTTTTAAATTCTCATTTTAGTGTTTTCCTCAATATTTATTCTTTCAACTTAAGGCTTTTAAATTATTTTGCATGGTAAATAAAACTTACCAGAGTGCCTGGTTTTCACTTATATATATAGTATTAATATTTGGGAATAGTCATTTCCCTCTTATAGTTAAAATCTTTTCATTTATGTCCAATGCAAAAAGAAGATTTAGGGAAAAATGAATTAACCAAACTCTGTTCTGAATTTACAATGTGAGACAGCTCAAAGGTTAGAAAGTTGTGTTTACTTAAAAGTGAAAATTTCTAATATATCTATTAGAACTTTGAGTAGAATAGTGGTCTTGATTCCATCATTCACTACAAAGCTCTTACAATCATCTCTCTCAGCTAGAAGTACTACTGAAAGACAGAAGCAAAATCCCAAGAGGACCAGCCTCTTGCAGCTGTAGTTTCAGCCTTTGGCAAACTATCTGTTCTAAAAATGGCCATACTGGAATATTTGGTCCTACTTAAACTTCCACAATTCTGCATCCCCAACCAGAGTTAGAGTTTACCTCTCTTATATTTCCTTGAACCAGAGCAGGACTTTGTGACTACTTCAACAAAGAGAAGGCAGAAGAAATGATGATCCACGACTCCCAAGGCTGTATCACAAAAGTTCATATGCCTTTCACCTGGCATTCTCTTGCTCTAAAGACACTCACCCTTGGAAGCAGCCACGATGCTGCAAGGAAGACCAAACTATTTCATATAGAGAGTAAATGGAGAACTGAAATTTCCCCAAAACAGCCAGCATCAAGACAATAGAACAACAAGACATGTGAGTCACTGGGCCTTCACGTATTCTAGCCTTCCATCTTTGAGCCACCTCAGCTGATCCACAGTGAAATGTAGGTGAACTTTCCCGTTTGGGCCCTACACAAAATGCAGATTCATAAGCAACATGAATGTTATTGGTTTTTTTGTTTGGTACCGGGGATCAAACTCGGGACCTTGCGCTTGCTAGGCAGGTGGCGGAACCACTGAGCTAAATCCCTGGCTGAATGTTATTGTTTTAACTCAGTAAAATTTGAGCTTAGTAACTGGAACACAGACCTCAAATTGAATGCACATATGGATGAATTTCACTTGAAACAAAATAAACTGTACGCTTTGCTTCCCATTTTAAGACTCAAATGCAAACAAAAACAAAAATATACACACCTCTTCCCAAAGTGACCTGCTGCTGCAAGACACTTATATACAGCTGCAGGGTCAGTTGCGGGGCTGAGCCCAAGAAAGCCTGGATTACTGATGCCCGGCTGAATGCAGAGCGGTGGGTGAATAGTTTGCCTTCTGCCTGGCCCACCTCCTTCTCGATCTCCTCTGAGAGGCCATTTTTTGGTATCTGCCGCTTCTTAGTGATGCTGACATAAGGTTCTTCATTGTGGTTCGACTGACAGTAGATGCAGAAGGCTTCAAAACACCTGAAAAAAATCAAGTCATAATTGTTAGAGGTAGGCAGGAGTCTGTCTTTTCCCAATCATCTTGCTTCTACTTAGCTGATTCTCAAAGCCTTATCTTGGCTTTTCTGGATTGGAGTCGCCCCTCTACACCATCCACTCCAAGGATGAATTCCAAGCTCTTGGTCTTCTACACACCTTCCAACATGTTAATGAGACCTGAGTGAGAATCAAACTGAGGTGATACTAAAAGCCACTGAGGCAAGGAAACCTAGAGAATGGGAAGTAGTTCAGGATCTAGAGCCAAAGAAAAATGTTCAATTTGCCTATCCTGACACATATTAGCTGTGTAGCCCTGGACAAGTCACTTAGCGAGTGCTTTCCCTTGATTAGAAAGCAGAGAAGCTAGCTACTTGGTCACATTTCTGTGAAAGGTGGCAATACACCAATACAATATATATTTAACAACCCTAGTTAAAGCAGGAAGTATGGTTGGGAGATTGTTCAGCGCAGGGCAGATTGTCACCTGGAACTTCACTGGAAGACCATTGCATATTAACTATTTCTTTGTCCTCATAAACTCTTACAGAGCCGAGCTAAAGTCAATCATGCCTGGGGACCTGCCAGATATGTCTTATTTATAGATTTCTAAGCTTGCTCTAGGAACAGAGCCTTAACCTTCATAAGAGAGAATACCTGGCTTCTATATTGGGATTCCCTCTCTAGTTACCTAGAGATATGGATATGAACGTCAAAAGGGGAAGGGTATGGATGCCTGTGATTTACTTTGAAGTACTCACATGTGTACACACAGACTGATGGATGGATAGATGTGTGAAAGAAAATGTCAATTGTATAGTATCGATGTAGGGTACTTGGGTGTTCACTGCAGAACTCTTTCAAATTTTCTTTTGTAGGTCTGAAAATTTTCATAATAAAAGGCTGGGGAAAAAAACGACTTTTCCCTAGGTATAAGAAAAATATTTGTAACTTAAATTTAAAAATTGTTGAAGGATTTTTTTTCTCTGAAACACAAACTGTCATAACAACCTTATAATGTTGCTAAAAATTTTTATGGTTTCATATGCGGTACTTTACTGAATGTTGCTAACTTTATACTCTCACATTGAGGTAACTATGGTGATGAATTTACATTTATAACTTAAAATAATGAAACAAAGCCATTGATACAAGAAAGGAAAGAAGCAAATCTTTTTGGTAAGTACAAAGTAGACATATTTGTGATTATTACCTTTGTTCATTTGCTCCTGCTAGAAAGAAATCAAGCAGTAGTGTGTGCATGAGCGTGTGAGTGTGTGCTTGTGTGTGTGTGAGAGAGAGAGAGAGAGAGAGAGAGGGAGGGAGGCTTGTCTCAGTGGCATCAGGAACATTTAATACACAGTATTACATGAAAACATGTAAAACAGCATGGACCAGTTTGTTCAGCTAAAAATAATACTAATCAAGTTCAGGTCAGAGTTTAAGCCCACTTTGTCCAAAACTCAAATGTGTGACTGAGGGCTAGATAATAAACTGATTATTGCCTTTATTCTCAAGTATGTGATGAATACTGATGCATTTAAACCCAAGTGCTTTGAGGAATGCAAGGATATTTTAGTTTATAAAGTATTTTCTCATATATTATCTCAGAAAGTCCACTGTAAGAATTTGGATAACATTATCTGTAATAGCAAAATGGTGGAACTATTCTAAAGTTCCTTAAAATAAAAGAATAAATCTAATGTGCTCATTCAATGAAATACGCAGTCCTGAAATTTTATGGTTTAGAAGTACATCAATGAAATATGCAGTCCTGAAATCTTATGGTTTAGAAGTACATCTGCTATTATAAAAATACTGGGCTGGGGATGTAGCTCAGTGGTAGAACACCTGCTTAGCATGTATGAGGCCTTGGGTTCAATCCCAAACACCAAAAATAAAATAAAAATATTTTTCACCATATTTGGTAAGTGAAAAAAGCCAATTGCAAGAGAATATATCAGACATGTCCAAGCAGCAGCTTGCTTGCCCTCTTTTTTAATGTTATTAAAAAAAAAAGAAATTTTTTACACACACACACAATATATGTGTCCAAAGACAAATTTTCTTAACTCAATTTGTCTCAGGAAAGCCAAAAGCTGGCCACACCTGCGAGAAAAAATGAAAAAATGAAAAAACTTCACACACAAATACAAACAATGGAATGTTTGAGCTAGCTCATACTGGCTCAAGAGAGCCAACTATAAAATAGGAAATTTGCACGCCAGTTGTCAACAGGTAGCTTGGCCAGAGTTCGGGATATATACACTTTGGAAATCAGTAACTGAATATCAGGGCTCATTTTCCCCAAGTTTACAAACATATCATCACAAAAATATTAGTAAGGATATACGACAAAAACATTAAGAATTATTCTCTTTAGGCAGTTAAATCAGAAGTTTTATTTTCTTCTCTGGGCATATCTGTTTTCTCGTTTTCTGTCATTTCAACAACAAATATGCTTTACTGGGATGATAAAATCAAGCTTTGAGTTTTCAAAGACCAAAATAAGCAAACAAATGGAACACCAGTTCATGCTAAGAATTGAATTAATGAAACAAGGGTTTGGAAGAGAATGAAATTCTCTTGATGCTGAGGAGGGGACTGTGTGATACTGGAAGAATTTATAGAATTGTAAAGAAAATGAAACTTCACTGATCAATAAATGGAAATGAAAGAAGGCCCAAGAATGAAACTAATGGCACAGGTGTCTCTAAAACTCAGGAAGACTTTCTCACAATCCATTAGTTTTCCTAAGTACTACAGTTGCCTTGGCAGTTTTATATATAGTAGGTGTTTAATAAATAAATCTTTGAACAACCCCAAGACTTTCCACTACTACTGGTAAGCAAACTAGCAAATTACTACTATATACTTGGAATCATGTAAAATCTGATTACTTCAAATCTGTTATTTGCGGTCTGTTTTATTATAGTTTTTTTTGCAAGGCTATCTAAACAAAGCAACAAATAAGACACTTTCATCAAAATCTTTCAAGATGTGGGCTGGTAATGCAGCTCAGTGGTAGAGTGCATAGCATGTACAAAGGCCTGGGTTCCATCACCAGCACGAAAATGAGAAGGGGAGTAGAGGGGAGAGAAGAGAAAAAGAAAGGAAAGGAGACCAAGATGAGATGAGCCCAGACCAGAACAGAAGAAAAAGAAACTGAGAAATCATGTGGAGCAAAAAAATTTTTGTATTTAGAGAAAGTAAATAGTGTAGGCTTTACAGGCCATGTTCTACGTTACATTTTCTCAACACTGCCTCTATAGTGCTAAAGCAGTTATAATCTATAAATGAATGGCCATTGTTGCATTCCAATAAAACTTTATTTATATAAATAAGCAGTGGGGTGATTTGGTGAGTGGAACACAGTTCTCTGATCTCTGATGTACATATTCAGTAGTTTGATCCTTTTTTTCATTTTATCTTATTTCCAAGTATCACTGTCCCATTTTCAAGCAAAATTTTAAAAGTTTATTTAACTGAAACCATGCATGTTGGTGCTGGTACAAGTTACTTGTGTTATCAGGGGCCCTAATAAAAATACTTTTTCCAAAGAAATACTATGACTTCCTATAAACTGTTATCTTCATATGACACACATGCTGTAGGAGGCTACACAAAAACAAAACTGGTTAAAAAGCAAATGCTTTGAGACCTTTGCAGACCCACTTATTTAATCTCTCTAAGCCTCAATTCCTGGACTGTAAAAATAAGATAATAACAGCTCACAGGGTTTTTACAGGGGATAGAATTAAACACTGTATGCAAAAGCACTTTGAAAGTAAAGTAAATAAATGCTCTTTTCACTACTTTATTTTAAACTGTCTTGAAAGTTTACTAGAGAGAGAAATATTGTCTTAAATAATTTTGCAATTTTCTATAAAGATTTTTGGAACTTTTAAGCCTTTATTTTACAAATCCATACTTTCATGCACCATTTCCCCCTCATTATACCAGTGTTAAAAATGAGGGGAACTTCTGGAACTTGTAACTCAAATTTATTTACCCCTTCCTCAGTTAATTTATGAAAATTAATATAATTATATAATAATGATAAAACAATTTTAATTTTTTGTGAGAAATATTCCTCCTCTGATTTTCCAGGATATTCATTATAATTCAAAGTAAGATTTTCCTTAAAATTGAAAAAAATAAATGGAAGGCATTAGCCAAAGTTCATAGTCAAATTCAGCCTCATGTGGAAGCAACCATACAAACTAGTCACAGACTTAAATATATAACTAAACGTATATAACATATAAATGAAATAAGGTGCTCTCCAAATACCTCCCTAAAGGAAAGAAGGAATAGAGTCAAGGTAATAGTATTTAGTCCATAATCAATATTGTAATGTATTGCAGTGTTTTGGTATTTTTTGGTTTTGTTTTTGAGGCACTGGAAATAAAACCCAGGGCCTCCTGCATACAAGGCAAGCACTCCAGCACCGAACTTCATTGCCAGCAATATATTGCAATTTAACTGGGCCATAATCCTGTATGAACTCAAAACAATCATCTGTATACAAAGAATACAAATTTGGCTGGTATTCATTCAAAGTTAAATAAAGCTAAACCGTCCCCAAAACTATTCAGAAACATTACTAAATCCAATGATAAGGGGTAAAACCTCATGTTTGTTCTTTGTTTGGGGAAAATAATTGTGATCTTTTGGTAAAGCTGATGTCTTAGACTGCAAATGGAATCCGTTAGCAGGAAGAAATTCAAGTAAGATATCAAGTCATGCTAATACACAACAAGAAATTGCTTTACTTTTTGTATGGAAAGCTAAGAGACTTGGAACCACATTTTGTATACCTCAGCTCTAAGATTATGCACCCAATATCTCTTGAAATAAATCAGGTGCATTAGAATGAGAGACTCTTTGGCAGTGGAAAGAGGTTGCCTGTTATTTTTTATCTTTTATTTTGTTTTCCCTTAAGAAGACACTGACCTGCTGAGAATTTCCTAGAAATAGAGCTTTTTTATAGTGTTGAAACTTTCTATGTAACTGAAAAGTTAACTCTTGAAAGTACAAAATGTTTCCTTTTCTTAATAAATTAGAATATGTTACTGTTAAAAACTAAAAATACAGAAAGGAGAAAATTATATACTTCTATTTTTCAGAATAGTAAAGTTATATCTTACCATCCAGAAATTACTGCTCTTAACATCTTAGTATATTCCCTTGAGCTCAGGTTTACATTTATCATCCTGTTTCTATACATATCATGTAATTAGCACTGTGTTGGATTACTCTTAATGTTTAAAAACATTTTAAATGTCAACAATGGTAGTGTATTCTCATTTACTTGTGTGGCTATTCAAGTTGCATTTAATTTTTTAAATTTTGCCAAAATTACCAAATTCTTTCTTAAGCTAGAACTGATAAAATATACTACACACACCACTGCTTTCTTTCACAGATTACAGGAAAAATAAATAATCCAATTCTATCTTTCAAGAATCCTTGGAAATGTGAGCTAGAACCTTATTTTTCTCATCTATAAGATGGCTACAGGGGCTGGAAGTGTAGCATAGTGGCAGAGTACTGGCTTAGCAAGTGTGAGGCTCTAGATTCAATCCTCAGCACCCAAATCCATCTATAAATAAATAAATGCTGAGGCAGGAGGATGACAAGTTGGGCCCAGCCTGGGCAACTTAGAAATTTAGTGAGATCCTGTCTCAAAATAAAAAAAAATTAAACAGGGCTGAGGATGTAGCTCAGTGCAAAGGCCCTGGGTTCAATCTCCAGTACTTGAAATGAAATAAAGGGCTGAGCATTTGGTTCATTGGTAGAGTGCTCACTTAGCGTTAGAGAGGCCCTGAATTCGATCCTCAGCCTTGCAAAAATAAATGTGGGAACAATTACATCTACTTTATGGTGGAGAGTCAATCTAAACTGAGGCATATAGGTAACTACCAAACCATGCACCACAAGAAGCTTTTGAGAAATCCTAGTTCCCCATGTTTCTCCACTTAAATGTGAGTTTAAGAAGCAGTAAGTGCCTTGCTCAGTCAGATCATATGTATTTTACTGAGCAGGAGCACCATCAGGATCATAGGACTTTCTTGGCTAGAGGAATTCTCTCCTCACTATATAGAACTTTGTAGTTTGTCTCTGTCCCCTCCCCTTCTTTTAAATTTCTTTTTCTGACCCTCCCCAACATACACCTTGGCTTATCAGGAGTAGCAACTTCTCATTTCCTAGCATGCTGGTTTCTCTTTCTAGGATTCTGCAGCTTCTGGAGGCCAGGAAATTATTCACTAACTTTGCCATAACTGTGTTTTATCTACAAGTCAATATCCTGAGTGTCAGCTAAAGTGGTTGTCTTTAGTATGTGGTACACAAGTTTTATAAAATCAATCTGTCTTGGTGCTCAACTCTGTGTGTGTGTGTGTGTGTGTGTGTGTGTGTATTTTTTTGGGGGGAGGGGTTTCCTGGTAGGAAAGGTTCCTATTCTGGAAGCTGAGGTGTGTCTCTAGCCTACTTCTTTAAATTTCTCTGTCAATTATACCTAAAATTCAGTATTTTAAATTTATTTATAATTCAGAGAGATAGTCCTTATTTTGCTTTTCATATAGAGATGAAAGATATGAAAACAAAACATTAAACTCCCTTCAAGGTCCTTCGATAAAGCCGACATCTGTTTCATTACCATTTATTTCTTTTTGCTTTGTGTTAATAAAAATCAATTTCCAGAAATGTCACGGTTCTTCTTAACACACAGCAAGTTTTTTTCTCAGTGACCTACTGTTTAGCAGAGTTTATGACTGTTAGAAAAGGCTGGAAGACACTTCTACAACCTGATATGTTTCCACACTGTATAATTATTGAACCACCAAAGAGGAAAGAATGATGGGATTTCTAGACTTCTGTATGAGAATTAAATGAAATAAGTTAATATTTGTAAAGCGCTCTGAACAGTGACTGGCACATAGTAACCTCCACATTTCTGATAAGTCACATGAAATGACCTGCACACATTTGGGCTGTAACCACAGCTTAGAACACACTTTCCAAGGGTTTGTGACCACACAAGGCAAGGCTGCCAGAGCCCACCTGACTGGAGAGACAGCCATGTATTTTATGAGACTGAACCACACGATACTGCCATTTCTGTTGGTCAGATTCAGGTGAATGTTGGCAATTTCATAGGCTGGTACCAAACAGGATTGCAGGGAGCCCCCCCCCCCCGCCCCCCCGCTTTAGTACCAATATGCTAGGATCCTGTCACATTGCTCGGGGGGAGGGCGGGCGCGCCTTGGGCCCAGGCCGGGGTCCAGTCACCAGTCCCTACCCGAAGGCGGCCCCCGCGCTCGGGCAGGTGGGGGAGCCAGCGGGGGCCGCGGCCTAGGGCTGGCTCTGGCCTTCCACACGCACCTGAAGAGGGGCCCGAGTTGTAGCAGGTGCAACAGCAGCACAAGCGGGCGATCCCGGCTGAGGTCGCGGTGCACGAAGACGAGCGTGAGCTGCACTAGAGCACAGGGCATCAGCGAGAAAAGCAGTGTCAGCGCCTGCCACATACGGTCCCCGCCCGAACTGTAGGTGCTGCTCAGGTACAGCGCCCACGTCGTCTCGGCCACGAACAGGAACACGGACGCCAGCACAGAGGCCGGGAATTTCATCTCTGGGCGTCAGCGGCGCGCACCGGAGACGGACGCGGAGGCAGTGGCGGGCGCGGTGGTTGGCGGCGCCGGCGGCTACCCGAGGGGCTCCCGGCATTCCCAGCTCCGACCCGCTCCCGCGCTCTGCGCAGCCCGCAGAGGGCACGCGGGCCCGGCCAACCGGCCCGGGCTTTGGAACTGGGCCTGGGGGAAACCGACCAGCCGGGGTGGGGCGGGAACGCGGTCCCACAGGGACACGCCCACACACGCCTTGCGCCGCCCGCGCGCCGGAATGTCCGCGGCGTCGCTGAGGTAACTGTCCCCTGCCGGCCGCGAACCCGGGTCGTGAGACAACTGGCTCCTCGCCGCTCCGCGCCGGAGCCCAGAAAGACACAGCGAATCCTGCTGGCCCACCGCGCAGTCTCTGGGTCCTAGCGTCGCTCGGCTAGTGCTTACTGTGGAAACCTTTCACAGGCCTTTGAAAAACTGCAAGCAGTAGAGCTCATAATTGGAGTATGGACACCTTTTCAGCTTAGTCTTTATTTTCTGGGCTGAGGAAAGCCTGGTTCTTCAGAAGGGCCAGAATTTGCTGTCATTTAGAAATAGACCTCCAAATGCAGTGATCTGAAGTATTCCAATGATGAAAGAGCATCAGATATGATCTCTAGGAGCCCATGCCTTCCCTCTGAGTAAAACTGCGTACAAAATGTATTCCTTTATAACTGACTCAGGTCAAAGACCAGGACCTAATAAGGAAGCAGTTTTCGAGCCTGAGGCATACCTCTTCTTACTGGTGTGCCAACTCTAAAACTAACACAATTCCTTTGCATGTACTAAACTTTGAACCACTTGCTAGACATCAGGATGGGCTCACCCCATCCCTAACCCTCAAACCTTGATCAATTCACTACATCTCTTTAAAACATAGGTTTTAACCTGTGATTAGACATTAAGATCATTTCTCTGCTGAAATTGGATGATTTTATTCTTCAGGCTTCTCAGTGAGTTTTCTGTTTAGGAAAGTAATGTGAAAAATACAATATGAAGATTCAGAAAGGATCAAGACAAAGATGTAGTGGGGTAAAACATGATGGGTTGTTTTTCTTGGTTGTTGTATGGCATGAGAAAATCTATTTATAAGGCTTGTGAGGAGGATTCAGCCCGAAGCTGAGAGGTACCAGGCCCCTTTTCCAAAAGGATTAGTAATGTCTATTTATAGAACCCAGCAGGCCATCGTGTCCTGGATCAAGAAGCACACAGTGCCACAAACATAAAATCAGCAGCAGCACTTCATGGAGTATTTGTGTAGGATTTTATTTGAAACTGTGGTTAGCTTTAAAAGGAAAATTAATTAGTAAATTATTAATTGCAACACAGTAAATATTTAGCATTAGATTTTATTTTAAGGCAAAGGATTATCACAGGTTTTACATTATTAAGTGGACCATGTTGTGGGGAAAGGGGGCAATAAGCCAATAAATAACTTCACTTTACACACTTACATAGCACAGTTTATGGTGAATTATTTTCTACAGTACAAAACTAACAGAAAACACATCCGAAAGGTCACAGTGTTTAGAATATTGTAACAACCGTTTTTAAAACAGGAGGGTGCATAATCTCTAAGTTTTTGACTCAGTCTTGCTTTTAGAGAGATTTCATTATACCATGCAGTAGGCTATGAGCAGAAGCAACATCAACAGACTGTAGACTTCCCCTCTAGGATCAACCAATAACATTTGTACATTTGTAAGTTGGACCTTCTTGGTCGGTCTGTGGACCAACTAACGCCAGTGTCAAAGTCTTTTTGTATTATCATTTTAACTTTGAGAATAACACATTACACCTTAGGATAGCTAGTTTCCCTGTCAAACACCTAAGTGGATTTTCTCTGAAGATCAATTTAATGTCATATCTTGCATTATGCTTTCTCAGTAGTACTGAAATTCTCACTGTTTTTAAAATATTATGTACACAATTAATAGACTTCTAGAGAGTGATGTTTTGGTATAAGAAGTGACATACCAGAATATTAAGAATTTGATTATAAAATATAGTTGTATGACATTTTGTGGTATAGTAAAATACCTGGCAAAGTGTTCTGCTCTAAATGTAGGATTAATTACTACTGCTGTATCTTTAAAGTGCCTCAGAGTCCCCTTGAGGAAATATACTAATTAGCAAGTGGTCAATTAACTTGCCTTTATTTTATGTGCAAGTCTTTAAAAACTTATATTATATACAACAGATAGCTGGTGTAAGATTTAATGTTAAGGAAAATTAATAGGATTTTAAAGTGGTAATAACTAATTTTTATTATTTGGCATATTTTTAAATAAGTTTACATTTTTAACTCTGCATTTATGGTGAGACAAATATTTTGCAAAGAGTACAATTTTATTAACAACACTAATTCAATGAATAGTTCTTAAAATTTCAATAGTACTTTAAGTAATGGTACTTATTTATTCTTGGGTACAATTAGGAATAAGCAGTTATACTATATTGACAGATTATTCTTTTGCACTGTTCTTCAAATAAGTAAGTGATTACACTAATTTTCTGCTTATGAAAGTAGCACAAAGAAGATGAACCTTTTTCTCTAGTGATACAATTGTATTTCTATAAGTATTGCAACCTGTGGGGGGATAAAAGCTTTTTGGTGAAGCAAATTCAATTCACTGGAAAATGCACATTCCAAAACAAATACACAATGCTTAATTATTCCCAACTTGTATATGACTTTACAAAGGGGTTTTCCTAATAACTGTATTCTATAAAACCCAGTTTTAAAACTTTTGTTAATTTAGTTCCATTAAAACCAAAAGATTAAAATTAGGCTTCCCTTCCAAGAAGATATTCCCTAGATATTCAAAGTTGACAAAGCCATTACCTTTTTAGAAAATGGCCTGTGCTTCTTTATCAGATTCTAAAACCAAACTTTGGCATTTGCAATATTATTCTCCTGTTCTGGAGAGTCTACATAAAAACGTTACACTGAATTTTCAAGAACAAAAGTATTCTATTGCTGCTACAGTCTTCAGAAGACATTTTTAATATTTAAATACTAACTCCGAAAGAACAGAGACAAAAGTGATCATTTAAATCAATCTGCTTATTTGAATACATCACATATATGAGCTACCACAGTTAACTTGAACCAAATTCAGTGGCAAAATTTATTTTACCGGTAATTTCCACTTAAGCACAGATATTAAAACAAAACTTAAGAAGGAGACAACATCAGAGACCACACTAAAAACCATGATGCAAAAAGATTATCTGCTATAAATTTTCAGTAGACAAGTATAGTCTATCTACTCTCTAAACTGATTACTGTGTCATAACTACTCTGTACACAAGAATACACACTGAAGCACATAAAATATGAAAAGAAAGACTTGCACAATTGTATTCTAAACATATGGATTCTATGTTTATACATGTACACGTTCAGATGTTTCTTCCTCCTTTTTAGAGTGTTCATCATTTCTGAAAACATAAGAGGAAAGTGTGTATTTCAGTGCTTTCTAAAGGTCTGTGTTTATGTGTAAGACTTTAAAACCATCTTCTGGTTTCAGTTTGTTACGTAAGTGGTTATTCTAGCACATGAACGATATCATTGTTTCCAGGTGATTCTGAATATAAAGATAAGTAGAGATGAGCTAAAAAAAGAATGGAGAGGCCAGGGATTTAGCTCAGTGGTGCTGAGGCCTGCCTTGCAAGTGCAAGGTTCCAAGTTCGATCCTGGTACCAAAAAAAAAAAATGGAGAAGGAGAGGAAAACACAAAGCTTTTTTATGTAGAGACACTTATGGCAATTTCTACAACTCCTGTAGACACAGAGTTCAATAAGTCAACTTCAAATAAGATTTTTTATCCAGGAGTGTTTTCTCAGTCTGTAATGTTAACATACCATGTAACCTCCAAAAGAAGGTAAAAGAATAGAATTTCCCAGACTTATCTAATCCCAGAATCTGTTTTTTCACAGTGGAACTCTTTGACTGCTCTGTTGAAGTTGGGGGAAAAGTCTAGTACTCATACAGTATGCAGCGTTCTGTTTCCATTTTCTTTCATAACAACAAAAATGATATAAGCAGTAGGGAGATCTTATCAATACTAAGAAGAATGGGATGCCAGTTCTGTATTGTCAATGCAGCCGCCAAGCCACATGCAGGTCTTGTACACTTGAAAAGTAGCTAGTCTAACTTCAGATGAGTAGTAAATGCAAAATACATACTGGATTTTGAAGGGTTAGCACAAAAAAGGTAAAATATTACATTACTATTTTGTATTGATGGCACATTAAAATTATAATATTTGAATATGTTGGATATATTGGCCTTAGTCAAATACAACATTATTAATTTCATCTTTTCTTTTTAGTATGGCTACTATAAAATTTTAAAATTATATATGTAGTTCATATTTAGGCTTACAATATATTTCTATCAGACACTGCTGCTGTATTTGTGAAGCTCTTGGTTGATATCTTCTACAGATAACTACTAATGACTTTAACCTGGCAGAATTTTTAATAAAAATGAAAGCTCAAGATAGACAGCTTGAAGTGTAACTAAGGCCCTCATTAATTAACTGCTAATTAATAGAGAGCAGTTATCACACCATTAAGATCCATTCATTAATCAATTTATGCTTAAAATATCTGTTCAGATATTTTTCAAAGCTAAATGTTGGGTTTATTTCATATGTGACACTCTCCTTATCCCATTTCCCATTTAGAAAAAGAAGTGTGGCTCATCCCAAGCATTCATTTAATTTTCAGTAATCAAGAATTCCAGTATTTTGTAAATGGAAAACCTTCTTAAACCGGAATACAATAAATAGAATGTCTTTTGTTTTCAAAAACTATCGCTTTAGGAGAACAGTACAATAATAATAATTAAAGCCAGACATTTTATGCCAAACTTTGAAGGTAAGGTTAGGACTGTAATCCGTGTGTTACAGTAGGGGTAAATGCTGTAGCAGCAAGCACCTCTGGTGAGTGATCTTGGGGCAAATGGGATGTCCATCTCTTTTTCCCGCTAATGCTTACACACACACATACACACGTGGAGGAGAAGGGGGAAATAAATCCTGTGTAACTCTCCTCCCGCTCTTTCTTCTTTCTTATTGTACAGGGAGGAGAAAGGCAAGAATTGAGAGGATAAACAGGTGAAATTATTTCTAGTGTTCTATAGCACAGTGGAGTCACTACTGTCTAAAATAATTTATAATATTTTTCGTACTATTTAGAAAAGTCTGAAGTTTCCCAGTATATAGAAATGATCGATGTTTGAGGAAATGGATACACTAATTACTCTCATTTAATTATTAAATATTAGCTACATTTTTGGAATTATTGCATTATACCTCATAAGTATGTATAAATATGTATCAAATAAAAATGCAAAGAGAGGAGAGTCTGTTCTTTTAAATCATATAACTCTCTAGCATTTCCCTCATCCCAGCCCAGATCAAAAGTATAGATGATTTGGTTTCCACTTTAAATGTTTAAATTCACTTCAGAGGGGTAAATAGTAGGTATACAATGGAAAAAGAAGACGTAAAGAATTCTGCAGATAAAGGACTTTGCCATGTGTGAAACAGTCCTAGTGGAAATGACGAAGTTTGATATTTTAAGAAAATTCAAGCAAATATTCTTCTAAACACTAAAGGCATCATCCATCAGGCTTCGATTCATTAACACTTTTGGTTAAAGAAATAAGGAGAGAGACTGCTCTTCCAGTATAAGACTTATGATCATAGAATCAACTCTTTTTACAACAATAAAATAAAATAAAAAAGTGACCAGGTTTATTTAAGGGGCGAAAGCAGGACAAATGAAGCCACCATCATATTCTCATGAATTGGTGCACCTGTAGTGGGTTGTGCTAAGTTGTGATCTGACTACAGAATAGGCTCAACTCCTGCTGCTGCTAAATTTGAGACCAGCCCTCTGTCCAGAGAGGAGTCCAGCCTTATTGAGCTTGGAGCTTTTAGCTAAGAACAGACATGGACAGAAGAGATAAGGAGAAAACCTACCCTCCCTGGAGAAAGGAGGTCACATGATTAAGTAGACATAGGAAAAAGAAAACCACCAGAACGAGCTGTTTAAAGAGAAAGAAGACATTGGGAATGGTTCAGGATTAGAAGTCCCAGGAAGCAACAAAACCCATGGGTAAGACTATATTTATTCTTAGTACCATTAAATGTGCATCTACAACTCACTTTGAGATGCCAAGCTTCAACAAACTGCCCACACCTTCTACTCCTTGCTTGGTTTCTCATTTGTTTTCCTTGCCAAGTTTATGCCAAGATCATATGGCCTTGGCAAATTTGAAGCTGCTTACTGGTTTTTGCTATTAATTTGAACCAGTGTTGAATCAATAACCCAGGTCTCCAAAGGAAGTTCTTACGTGCAGCTGAGAGTACATTTCTATTCCTATATGTCACGCAGCTCTGAGGCCTGAATTAAAATGCAGATCAAACTCAATTCTTAAGTTACTTCATTTCTCAATTAAGTTACTTCATTTTTACTGGCACTATAATCCTTTGTTTTCAGTAAACAAAATAAATATTTGCATTAAAAGGAGCTCCCAGGCTAACTAAGTAAATCTCTATGTAGTAAGCCCTGGTAAATTAGAACCTTCAGAGGCACAAAAGCTATAGTCAGGACTGGTGATAAAATATAAAAAATGTACACTTGATTTTGACCTATTCAGTGATTCAGACCTCAAGGACTGCATCTACATATGGAGATTCTATTTCGTTAAACATTTACTGGAATTCATAACTAAGCATGGTTTTCTATGCACATAATAGGTACTTAAAACATAGCATATTTTCTTTGCTTTCCCTCTCTTCCTTCCTTCTTCTTTTTTTTTCTTGCTAGAGATGGAATCCAGTATCTCACACTGGCTAGACAAGCACTCTATCACTGACCTACCCACCCCCAGTCCTGTGAGTGTTCTTAACATATTATAAATAACAGCCTTACATTTTTAAAATTATTGAAGGATGCTCTCTACAGAAATTGAAATAATTTTCACAGTAACTTGATTATAATCTTAGCATATCAAAGAAAGTTAAAGGAGTAGGTTGCCAATGGAAGAGCTGTGATTTAGCAAAAAACAAAATTCTATTTGATTCTATTTGTTTTTTGAGTTATCAGTATATGAACATTATTATCTTAATAACACTGTCAATTACCCAAAGAAGTACAGGATCATAAGTGCCATCAAACTTCTGTTTTTCTCAGTTATAAGATTATGGGCATAACAAAAAAGTAAACACTGATGAGAAAAATCAGATTGGTTAAAAAAATAATGTAACATTTAGATATGTGGAAGAAAAGGAATGTAATTATGTTATGAAAAAACACCACAGAATTGTAGCAGTTTATGAAACATCTTATTATCAAAATATAATGCAATCTTCCTATTATTGAGTAGCTCTTGATGAATCCACAAACATTTCCACAATTATCTTCAGGGCTTAAACTGCTTGTGCCACATACAGTAAATAATATCAAAGTAATAGTAGTGGTGAAAATGTCCCTGTAGCCTTCAAGAGGAAATATGCTTTAGTACTGCAGAAACGATGTAGCACTAGAGTATTACATAGAAGGGGACAAGGTGGATAATAAGAAGTGACCACACTTTTCTACAGCAAAATTTAGGGGATTTTTTTTCCATTCTTGGGAAAACAAGATAGAAGAGGACCTCTCCCAAACTACAATTCTATTTCTTCAGGAAAATGAAAAGTTTCAACAATATTTAAGTACTGACAAGTTTACCCTTCTTTCTAATTTACTAAGCTGTCGTTTTAGAAAGACAGTATCCAAACAGGGCCTTTCCTTGGGTTTGACACAGAAGAAGTAACTTTGCACCATGGTAAGCACAAACTGTCAGTTACCTACCAGATCTTAAAAGTGTTGGTAAGCATGGAAGAGGTCCGGTTTTTCTAAAGTTCCTAGGAACGATGAGATGAGCTAGAGTCACACTTCTTAGTGCTTTAGGTTTTAGGTCTCAAGCACGAATAGTGGAAAGATAAGCAAACAGAAACAGAAATGGAAAGTAACTTTAAGGAAAGGAATATTTTGTTCACTAGTGTCACCCCAGATTCTAGTCGAGGATATCAAATAAACTTGGAAAGTGAAACCCTGGGTTTGAATCTCTGTCCTACCTCTACCTAGCTTTGAAACTTCGGAGCAATCATGTTACCTACATTCAGGGCTTGCTTAAGGATGAAAAAAGCATGTGTGTGTTTTTTTTAATAAATCCCTGATATTGGGTAGTTATTATTTTTAACCTATAGGGGCAGTGTGAAATGAATTTAAAATGAAATGGTGAAAAGCAGACATCTCTATCACATCAGAAGGAGACTGCTTGTACAAAGCATCTTGCAGTAAGCCTTGCTTAAGAGGAAATGACAAGGTTGCCTATTCATGGAAGAACTTCTGGAACTCATTTTGGCAGTTATCTGAGAGCTGCTACTTATGTGGTGCTGCCCCAAACTGAGTATATTCACAGATGAACAACTGGGGCTAATTGTATACACTTTTATCTGAAGATGTGAAAATGGAACAATAAGCCAAGAATATGTCTGCTTTTCAAAATAATTTTGTCCTACTTTGTCTTGATGAGTGCAAATGTACAAAAATAATCATAAAATATAAAAAGATGGTTCTGGTTCTTACTCTTCTTTGGAAAGATTGTTTAAGACTCTTACAGATACTAGAAGTTCTCTTCCACAAAGCAGAGGCATACATGGACACACACCCAAACACATTGGTCCATGTACTTACACACACCTACATGCACATAAATGTGTTTAGGTCACAGAATATTCCCTAATTCCACCCAAAGTCTATCTATGACTTAAATTAGGAACTACTAAACTAAGGAGTAAGTGGTTAGGGATAGACGTAGCATATGCACGCACATACATACATACATATATATATATATATACACACACATATGTATATATTCATATATATCCAAATATCAAATGACTAAATAAGTTTTATTCAGTAAAATTTCCTTCTTAATGTGATATATGAAATTGTCAGTGATCAAGTTCTAGGACAAAGGTAAACTCATATAGTGTACATTAAAGTGACAGACATTTCTACAATGTTCTGCAATCCACTATTGACCTGAAGCAGTTGAACAATTTCTATGTGTTTACAGGAAGATTCAATTTGATAACTGGATGCAACGAGTATTATGGTCAGTTTGTAGTGTACCTTGTGTCTTGGATGATATGCTGACTACCAACAAACTAATTTGTCTCTTAATCTAACAGTATAAAATGGAGAGACATTCCATAATCACGGGTGCCTTTCTCAGCCTGTGTCTATCTGTCCCAAGAGACATAACATTCCATCAAAGGCAGACATAACATGCCTTTGTACTGATTACCCTGATCTTTGAGATGAGTGGTTTTTATCAAGAGCATATTTTACAGTGTGATAATAGCTTTGTAGGGATTATGCACATAAAATCATTTAAAAAATTACTAACTATAGAAAATATACAGCTTACACTTCAAATGGTGAAATAAACACTAGATAGCAACACTTGCTACAGTATTTCTAGCTTATGAATCCCCCCATGGTATTAAGGATAGAACCCAGGGCCTCAAACATGCTAGGCATGTACTCTGAGAGAGCTAAACCCCCAGCCTGGAATTTTGCTATTCTAATTGAGCTTTAGGAAAGAAAAAGGAACTAGGAAAAGAGATAATAAGGAATAAGAAAACTTCAAATTTCAGTGTCTAAATTATGATATGATGTTTCTAAAATGCCCAGGGTAATGATAAAAATAGACTAATATGCAAATATCACCATTCGGTAAAAATCATGAATTTCAATAAATAAAGGCATAGGACAACCAAGGGTTTCCTTTTATGTCCTTCATTGTGATACTTCCTCCCTGCTAGCAGTTTTCACCAGGATAAAATTTAGTTTTTGATTGTCTTTATTTCTGAATTTAGTGTGGAGGGCACCCACAGTTAGTTGAATTCTGTCTTCAATTGTGAAGGTGTTAGCATTTTACTGCTATGGCCACCATTTCATTTTGTTTTCTATGTCATTCCTTCAAAAACAGAACGTTTCTCTTTCTCTTTTCCCTCTGATGTCTGGTTTTACATCTATTCCCTGAAATAGTAAAACTCTAACATTTCAGGCGAGTTGTTATATCTACATTTCACAGGTTCTCTCTCCAGTCTGGTATCATGCTGCCTTCACCTGCCTGATTCCATTCCTCTGGCGGCAATGTTAAGGCTCATGGTTGTGATACCATTGAATGTGGCTTATGTGGAAACTGCCTTGGAGAGGCTCAAGAAATCTCAGGGGACTTCTTCAGGGCCGCAGAGGGAGATGGAATGTTCTAAACAAAGACGCTGAAGAGAGGGAATTCAGCCTGATTGGGCTGCAGCAGATCGATCAGAAAGCACACTGTCCCAGAGAAGCCTTCATACAAGCTATATATACTTTCAAGAACCCGAGATCCAGCCTTGAATTCCTCAGTAAATAAGAACTGAGCAAACCTAAGAGAAGAAAAAAATAAAAACAGTGTTAATGTAAGTATTTCCATATTGTCAGCCTTGAATTGCTTCTTTCTCTTCTGCCAAATTAAAATTTTAGCATCATTTTCTTCCCAAAATTATATAATTCTTTTAAGAAAGCCTAGTTCTCTGAGTAAAAACAAAAAAGAGGAGCCATTACATAATTGTGTATGTTTCACTACAAATTATGCTGGCAAGCAAATCCAACTATTTTCAGAGTTTGCAAAGCAAAGCACTTTGGTATTTTTGGAGGATTTCATTCCCTCTGTCATCTAAAACTTAAAAGTGAAGAAGGTAGATAAATTACCCTACTTTTATTTTTCTTGAATAGAAACAAAGTGATATCTCAGTGTTCCTTCAAAAAAAAAAGTAAATATCCTGTGTTTTTGCAGGCATATTATTTATAAGCTAGATTTCATTTATATGTGGCAGAGAGCAGAGCCCGGGAAAATAAATGAGCAAGATTTTACACAATATGTGCTCTGGGCAAACAAAGGAATAAGATAAATGTGAAAAGCCAAGGGACCTTTTATAATGATGCCAACAAATAACAAGCTCAGTTCCAAGATAGATTATTTTTAAGACATCCACCCTAAAAATATCAGTGCCCTTTAAATTCTCTGTGAAAGACCTTTAATCTCTTACTCACATCTGCCACAGATCTTATTCAGATTATTTATAACAAGTAACATTTTTATAGTACTTTATAGTTTTCAGAGTGCTGCCACCTATGTCATTTTTTACTGATTTGCTCTACTCATTCTCACCAAGAACAAAAATAATGACTGACTCAGAGGCTGGATGGAACATACAGCTTGGTAAACCCTGAAAGCTGATACTTTCATCAGTTTAGATTATTGCTACTACCCAGGGGGTCCTATGAAGCATAATTACTTATTTTATCTTTTTAGGCTTTTCGAATTATTGATCAAAGCTTGAAATAAATCGGCAGGCAACAGACCGCAATTCTGTTTGGTACAATTTTTCTATCAAATGGTTTCTTGAATATACAACAATTTAAAATGGAATTTTACTTTTGAGCAGTAAAATAACACAGGATCTTAAAATTAATTCAAATTTTGCAATCATATAATGAAATCAGCATCATGGTATAGCTTCAGGGGGATTTTTGCATTTTTAGCATTATGGGTCATTTGGCAGACTTCTCAAAAAAAGTTTTCAAATGCACAAAATAAAATATAAAAGGAAATTAATTATATTAAGGCATGGTTAGTAAAAAAAGTATTTTTGGTGCTAGAACTGAACCTAGGGGATTTTGCAAGGTGAGCACATTCTCTGCCACTAAGCTACATCTTTAACCTTGGTTAAAAATTGTAAGCCAAATATGTGGTATAATAGCACATGTATCCTTCATTACTACATTAAATAAAAGACCTAGTAACGAGGTATGTATGCATGTATGTATGTATGTATGTATGTATGTATTTCCTTTGCCATGGTAGGAATTGAACTCAGACACCAATGACTGCTAACATTTCTAAGTAGTGATGGAAGTAAATAGCATATTTTAATAAGAGTAGTTTAATATGAGAATATTTGTTACTTCTATGGATTGTAGAGTCACAATTACTCCTAATAATTCTGTGATTTATAATCAACTTTTAGAATTGAAGGAAATATATTTCAGTTTGAGATGTAATATTTTTTCTTGAACAAGTTCACAAAATCCAGAATAAGAATCTTTGGTATAGGAAAAAGAGAATGGGCTTCAATTTTGAAATAACCAAATTTGATAATTTCCTGTTATATGACCTTGGCAAACTTTTGAATTTAATCATAAAATGCTCCAGTTGCAGAAATGAATAGGATTATCTATAAAGATTAAAGCTATCATACTGAGCTCTGAGCATATAAGAAGCAGTGGAAAAATGGAAATTTTTTTCACATAAACATATTCTAGCAGAATATTTGTAAAATGGAGAAAATCATTCCACTATACTATGCAAGAAACCCATGGTTAATTTTTTTCTCTTCTGACCTTTCCCCCTAAGTGTTGATTTATTACATAACATTTTGTTAAAGTTTATATTACTTGATATCCTGAATTTTTACTTAAAATTAATATGACAGACATTTTCTGTGCTTTTCAAAATAGTTTCTAAACAATGCATAGCAATTCACAATAAAACCACCAATGAATGAAAGCGGCAATTTATTATATTCTAACCTGCATTGTTTGTTATCATTTCTGAAAAATTTTGTCTATATTAAAATAAAAATGATTGTTTCAAACATATACTCAATGGTGCAAAAATCAAACTATATAAGTCATTGTTCTAAAAGGTTCTCAGTCAAAATTAAAGTCAGAATGATAATTATGGAGCTAAAAAGATGAATGACATTGAGAACATGCATATGAAAAGAGATTAAGACCAAAACTGAACAAAGAAAATTAAGAGATTTATGAGTTTTACTATTGTTCATAGAAAGATAGAAGGATTTATAATTAAGCATTTTAAAATTTTACAAAATAATACAGTAAAGAAAAAGAACAGTGGAAAACCCAACAAAGGCAGAAAATAAGTAATAAACACAACCAAGAGCAGTTTTTGGAAAGGATGAGCACAATAGAAAAACACCAGATAGATCTGATCAAGAAGGAAAATCACTGGGAATGAGAAGACATACAACCACAGATACAGGAAATTAAAAATATTACAGAACTATATTATTGGAACTCTATGTCAAAAATTTGAAAATCCAATGAACAAGGTGGTTTTATAGAAATATATTCAATTCAGAACAGTAAAGGTAGAAAACCATAATAATTTAGTAATCATCGAAGAAAATGAAAAAGTTGGTAAACATTTTCTTTTCTTTTTTTTTCTGGTACCAAGATTGAACTCTGAACCTTGCACTTGCAAGGCAGTTGCGGCGCCACTGAGCTAGAGCCCTGGCCCTGGCAAACATTTTCTGTAGCCAGGGATTCCAACTGTAAGTTAAAAGAGTAATAGGTGATGATCAAGTAATGGTTATTCCAGGGAGGGGCATATTGTTTGATAGTTCTGGCCATACCATTTTAACTTTGAATTATAATTAATTGGAAATTTCAGTACTCTAAGCAATAAAATGTAACGCCCAAACAATACTCATGTATTACCTGCACATTTTCAGTCTCATACATGTTAGTGAAAATTTTAAATTTTCTGAACAGTCCAGGGCCTCACAATCATGTATACCAGACTGTAAGTTAGGACTGGGACCAGGCTGCCAGAAAATAAAGGGCTTGCTGTGATCCGTTTTTTATGTTTTTATGTTTTCTTTTTCTTTTCATTTTTTATTTTTTATTAATACATGTTTGCAATACGTCATGATTACATTCTTCATGGAGATTTGGCACATGTACATAGCACATTTCTTCTTTTCCCAGTGCCAAGCCCCGCCCACTTCCCTTTCACAAAAGATCTATCTCCTTATTGCCTATTATCTATCTTTTATTTTGCTTTTTATTTATATTTTTGGGTTTCTCATATAAGAGAAACCATGTGACACTTAGGCTTGTGTGTCTGATTACATTTCACTTAATATTAGGGCCTCAAGATACATTTGTTTTTCTACAAATGTCTCAAAGTTATCCTTCTTTATGGTAGAGTAGTACTCTATTGTGTATAATCCATTCATTTTTTTTAAAGGGGAAAGGATTTATTTAGCACACAATTTGTAGAGGTTTCAGTCCATAGTCATCTGGCTCCAAGGCAGAGTGTGACACATGGCAGAGGGGTGTCACAAAGGAGAAACAGTTCATGGCCTCAACATGGTAGCAAAAGCAACAAGGGAACTATAATAGTGTCTTCCTGCCCCTTTTATCTTATCCAGACTACTGGGATTAGGGTGGTGCCAAACCAGTCAGTGGACTGGTTTAGTAATCACACCCCCTTAATTCCAGGACCATACTCGGCCACCTCTAAAAAAGCCATATGACCCCATGAGGCTTTGAGTGGACACCTAGACACAAACCAGAAATTCAGCCTCCCTACCTTCCATTAGGCGCTGTCCTTTTCTAAGCAGACTCAAGTACATAGGGTAGGCCCAGTCAGGCCTTGCTGAGCTATCCTTAGCTCACCCTCTGCACTCAGTATTTGCTCTTGCTAAGTCCTCTTAGCACATCAGACTTCATCTGAGTTTCAGGTCTTTTTTTTTTTTCCTGAATTTGTTGAAGGACAAGATTTAGCTATTATGAAATGTGCTGCTATAAGCCTGGGTATGCATGTATCACTATAATATGATGTCTTTAACTCTTTCACAAAGATATCTGGAAAAAGAATAGTTGAGTCAAATGGAGTTTTTCATTTCAGTTTTTTGAGGAATCTTCATACTGATTTCCATAATGACTGTACTGGTTTACACTGCTATTTTAATAAACTTTCCAAAGCTTGAGAACTTTTAATGAAATTTATCACTAGGTGAAACCCATTAGCCTAGATATAATCCAAAATGACTTTTATTTGCTATATTTAGGAAACAACAGGTGTGGATTTTTTCCACCTAAATGAATTAGGGAGCCCTGAATCAAAAATGTTAACAGAATTCCTAGAGAAATGAAGCTTGAAGTAAAGGAGTTACATATGTTAGTACTTCTCCTCCAGAGCATACATGCCAATATGACAAAAATGTACATCTTTTGTATTATTGAGTATTTTTGCTTTTCAATAAGATAGTTCTAGATGAAAAAAATGAATGTTAAAATAAAACTATAAAGGTACTGATATGAATGTAAATGTACATTTTTATAATTTTGAAAAGGGAAAATTATTTTAAGCACAACACAAATCCAGAAATCTTAAAGGAAATATGGAAAACTTTAACAAAAAAATACTTATAATGAAAGACTATGAACAAAGCTGAAAGAGAAATGGCAAAGTAGGAAAATATTTACAGCATGTATTAACAAAAAGTTATGATACCTAATATAAACCTTACGCTAGAAAAAAATGGAAAATATTAAAGGCAGGCTAGTTATAGACTAAGAAATACTGAGGATCTAACAATTTTAATTCCAAAATTTCCTAGAAAGAAATATTTGCACAAGAGCACAGAAATAAATATTAGACATTTGGAGCAATTTTCTGTATTAGCAAAATTGCACATGGACCAATATCCATTATGTAGAGATTAGTTAAATTAATTATGGTACAATCATAGTGAATAACTATAGCTGGTTAAAATAATGAGATGGATCTATCCAAACTGAAATGAAGGTCACTTTAAAATTCCTCATGTAAAATTACAAGTTCAAAACAGTATGTATAGTACTATGATACACAGAAAATAGGAGCCTATTAAAATATACATAAAGATTACCATTGTAGTTCAGAGGTAGAGCAAGTGCTTATTTCCATGCATGAGGACCTAGGTTCAAACTCCAGAATCAAATATTTACCTGCCTACACACACACACACACACACACACACACACACACACACACACACACACACACATTTGGGCCCAGAGTAAAGTCTGGAATGAGAAAACTCAAATTTATATGTAGTAATAATACCAGTGTAAACTTACATTGAAATTACTATGTCCCTGGCGTTTTAAAAGTGATTTTCGTATGTTAACTCATTTAAAATGCCCAACACCCTTGTGAAGTAGGCACGGCTTTCCACATGTTACAGATGAGGAAGATGAGGCACAGAACAGGTTAAGTGACTAGCTAACGGTCACCTCACTAATACAATAACCATCAAGTATATCCCTTCAATTGGAATGATCTCAACAGTACAGGGGCTAATCTTTAGCCTCCACCAAGTGACAGCTCAGATATAAGGGAATCAGACCACATGGTTGTGGGGAAAGGGCCCCTGGCTTAGAGGATCTAAGTGACACACAGAGAACCACTACCTTTTGTAACAACTTACCAACACAGACAGCTTCTAAGTCCCCTCAAAAAGAATGCCAGTTTCATGCTAGTCAGCACTGAGGGAAGCCTCCACTTGTGCATTCTACCAAATTATTGAAAGTTCATTTATAGTTTTCCTGGTCCGCTTTACTCAGTTTACCCATAAGAAATTATTTCTATTAAAAGAAATGTTGTCTGTTACACAACTGATGCTCCATCTTTATTATTTCCAGGGAATAAACTACAGGGGCCAATTTAGCAATATGTGTCAAAACTAAAAACACACATATATATATACACATATATATACATATATATGTGTATATATATCTATACATATATATACATATATATGTATATGTATATATATATAGATAGATAGATAGATAGATCTCCTTTGGTCCGTGAGTTTCACTTTTAGGAATTTACCTTTTTTGTTTGTTTGTTTTGTAAGACAAGGTCTCACTGTGTGTAGTTCAGGCTGGCCTTGAACTCACTATGTAGCCCAGGCTGGCCTCGAACTTGTGGTGATCCTCCTGCCTCAGCCTCCTGAGTGCTGGAATTACAAGCATGAGCCACCATGTCCAGCCGAATTTATCTTTTAGATATACCCATACATGTGAAAAATCATACCTATATAAGGTTAGCCATCATACCATTATTTGTAGTGCAAATATTGGCAATTATCAACTAAAATATTTTTATTATAATAAGAAATAAAATACTTAAGAAAAACATTGAAGAAGTCCTCTATGCACTGACTTAGGGTTATGGAAAACATAATGAGCTGCTACCATTTGTATATCAAAATGAGGGACAAAATTTTATATATATTCATGTTTGCTTGTATGTGCACAGAATATCCTTAGGAGCATAACCAAAATATTATAACAATGTTTCCAAGGAAGTCAATTAAATGGCCAGTGGACACTACCGATGCGTTTCTTTTTGTATTTATTAAATCATGTGACTGTTTTACCTACACAGAAAATTAATTAGATTAAAAACTAAAAAAGAAAACACATGAGAAGAATGGCTGACCTTTGGGCGCGGTAAATATATTTCGAGTTGCCAGTAAGTCGATAAAGTAGCAGGAAAACATAGGCACTGCCAGCTACACCGTGGCAAATCCCTGGCCCCTTCTTTAGCAGGCCCTTCTGCCATGTGAGCTCCCCACACCGGATACATGTGTCCAGGTACTGTGGTTTCTTGGAAACCAGATAAGCTTTGGCAAACAGATAGGCAATTCCTGTGAAAACATCAGATATTAGAGGTGACTTTCAGGGCTTAAACTATGGAGCAGAACTTCTGACACTGTAAAAACTTCAGAAATCATTTCACGAATTCTAATATAGCAATTCTGAGATGGGCCCAGAGAGTGTGTTTCTCTAACTTTCTGTCTCTCCCTGTCTGTCTCTCTGTTTCTGTCTCTCTGTCTCTGTCTCTCTCTCTGTCTCTGTCTCTCTCTTTCTCCCTTCCTCCTCGCTCTTTTCTTCCCTCCCCCCTCTCTCTATCTCTGTGCTGGGAATGAAACCCAGGACCCAGGGCCTCTGGCATGCTAGACAAGCACTCTATCACTAAGCTACATCAGAATAAGATACTGTAGTTCTAACAAGTGCCCTCCCAGGGACCACATTTTGAGTAGCAAGAATGTTCTACAACAGTTTTTTTCCTGTGGGATGTAGTTTAAGTTGTTTTAACTGTATTGTGGGTTTGGCCCTTGGAGAAAAGGCAACATTTTACTGAAGTACATTGATTGATAAAAATCTATAATTTAATTTACAAACTGGTTAATATTTAAAATGCATACATTCTGGCTATTTGGAAAGGTTAATTGTTTATAGAACTTACTCATTCTGCCACAGAAGTTAAGGACATATAATGTTTAAGTACTGATAACAATCCACATTTTCTTAAGAGCAAAACTGGGAGTCTCTCCAAGAACAATGGTCCCAAATGACCTCACCAAGACTTCTACTGGTATTCCAGCTGTGAAGTTAGTCCTTCCTGCTTCATTATTCAAAGGAAAGAAATGTTCCTTCAAAACTTGTCAACAAAGGTAATATCAATTACAAAGTTGGGAACAGAAACAAGAGAAACAATAGCTATTAATAGAAATCATTTTTCCCATGTTCCAAGTTCCAGGTACTTTATGTTCAAAGAGGAGGTTAGGGGTCTGGGATTTAGCTCAGTGGTTTCGCCACCTGCTGCGCAAGTGCAAGGACCCGAGTTCAATCCCCAGTTCCAAAAAAAAAAAAACAACAAGGAGGAGGTTAGTAACACAATATCATTCTCCCTAGTACACAGTCTACTTTTTTCCTAGATAAAAAGTGAGAAAGGGCTGGAGAACAGTTCACTGGTAGAGCACTTGCCTAGAATACATGAAGCCCTTGGGTTCTATCTCCATTACCACCGAAATTACATTAAAAAGTAGGACATAGGCATTTAAAAGAAGGACACACAGTATGTATCTTGGCTAGCTCATCCATCGGGGTTATCCCTGCCTTTCATTGCTTTGACCAGGCTGTTTTACAATTTTGTAGATATAGAAATTATCTTGTACAAAGCTGATGGTAAAGTAAATAATTCCTGTCTCTAGAAGCTCACATTCTGTCTGGTAGAAGTCAACTTGACTTTCCTCCACCTTTGTGGGAGAAGCCAGTTTTGCATCCACAAAACTAATTCATTTCTGTGTTCCTAAAGGCCTATAAATACGCCTGGTCTATAGATGTTCTTTTGAACCAATTGTAACAACTTTCTGATTCTCTCATTAATTAATGACATAAGTAAAATGTTTGATATGCATCCATTTTGTATTTGTATTAGAACCACAATTTTGATATTATCCTCCTAAAATGCATCGTTTAACGTTCTGTGGTTAACAGTTACATGGCAACAAGCTCAATGCTCACACAATGCTTTCCAGTCAACTACTGACTGACATAGTTTACCTACAGCGTTGTTTTTCTTTAGTTTTAAAACAAGTGTATTAACAAACTAAAGGATGATTTTAAAAGAATTGAACTTATTTATACATTTATTAATTCACTGCATCCACTTATTTGAAAGTGGCCTTTGATTGTTGCAATGTATAGCTCTATGCAAGGCCAGCTTCCTGGGCCTGGTATGTGTGCAGGGTTTGGGTGTCCCCACAGTCCACACCCCTTAATGAATCCCATTCTGGGTTGAACGTGCTGTTATTACCATCTTGAAAGCTTTAGTAGTTTTCCTAAAAGGAGCCCCGCATTTTCATTTTGCACTGAGTCCCCTGAATTATGTTGCCAGTCCTGGCCTTGGGCGATATAAAACAAAGGCTAAACATGACTCCTTCCCTTTAAGAAGCACTGTCTAAAAAAGGAGATAAAAATATGTACACGATGCTTCTGGGACATGAAATTAATTCATATCTGTTAATGGCCCTAGATGAATTAGAAAGGTGGAAGTTCCCCGAAGAAGACAGTCTGGGGAGGCCACGGATGGAAATAGGACTTTTTCAGGGCTTTTTAGGACACATAGGAAACTCCAGGCCCAAGGTGAGGGAGGGAGGACATTACTGGCACCAAGATCACAAAAGCAAAGTTTTAGAGCCAGGAAGGATGAGTCACAGAAAGGCCAGTGGGGCAGTGTGCTAACCAGTAGACCACTAGGGTTAGAAGGGTAGATAGGGTTTTGATTATGGATGCCTTTTCAAGTCCACTTAGGCTGCTTGAACTGCATACTGTGGGCAATAAGGAACCATTAAAAGTGGTTTTGTTGTGAACTGCTTGGTGTTTTTACATAGGCGTGCAATTGTTCTGATAGACACACTATTCCATAGTGCTGTCAGGGGACCTAAAGAACGGTAATAGGATGGCTTTGAGCTTATTATATTGGCAGAAAGATGGAAATGAAGCTAATAAAAGAGTAATGTCACAAAACTTGGTGGCTGTTTGGATATTATTAAGTATCTACTATATGGCTGGCACAGGTTTTATAAAGCCCCAACCTTCGTGACATTTACAACTTAACTAGAGGTTTTAATTAGGGTATGTGTGGAGAAATAGAGGTATCCTGGGGATACAGAAGAAGGCCCCTAACCCTCAGTTGGTAGTAGGAAGGGTTTACTAGGAAGTGACACCATCCCACCTGAGTACCTGGTTCCTGAAGAGGAATTAGCTAGGTCAGTATATTGGGTGATGCTGGTATCCTGCCTGGGTCACCTTTAATTCTCCAGCACTTGCCCCAACTCCCAGTTCCTGGGAGAACTGGCCACTTACAAAGCTTAGAGCTGCCCCTTTCTTGAAGGATCTGCCCAGTTGAGTGGAAGGTTATATTACACAACCATCCTTCAACAGGTTTCAACCATATAAGAGTGCAAAAGTTCAGCTCCCTTGCCTCAAGACAGAACTAGATTTTCTGGTCTAATCTGTGCCTCTTAGATGTGTCTTACAGTCAGGGTGAATGAAGCTAGTCTCAAGGTGAGGCATGCTTTTCCTCTTGCCTTATCCTGCTTCCTTGCTGCCTGATAGGTTTCTCCTAAGAGCAGGCTCTGCTTCTAGTCACCTAGGAAAGAGCATGATGTGGAAGGAGGTGTTCTCACCAAGGGAACGCTGAATAGTTCCTTATTACCTAAGTGCCTTGGCATGACACAGCTTTTGCTCGTACTTTTCCTCCTTAATTATCTGCCTGAAGCTTTTTACTTTAATAAAACCAAACGACCTGCAGTGCATCCATGCTTCTGAATGTTCATGCTGTAGTCATCACCTCTTCCAGAAAGCCCTTGCTAAACCTGGAAGCAGCACCAGAAGTCCCTCCTCTGGGCTCCCATAGCTCCCTATGAAACCTTAGCACTTGTACAGAGTCTGATTAAAAGGATCTATTTCCTTGTCTGCCTCTCCAAGTATAGTTACATTACCCAAGGACAGGAACTATATCTTCTCATTTCAACCTATGGCATGGTGTTTAGCACATGATCAGGGTGCCAAAACTATCCCTTCGATGCCTCATTCCACACCCCCACACAGGCCAATGCTGGGATGGAGATGAGAGATGTAGAATGAAGAAGAGCTGAGATTGTCTAATTGACGCTAGGCTGTTAGCCTCAGACACTTTAAAAGGTATTGATCCTGTGGTTCTGGCCAGAGCGAAAGGGCCTTCTCCTGTAACCTAGATCACAGAATAATATGTAGAAGGGACCTTGAAAGACTTCAGAACCTGTGGTTCCTAACCTAACTACAGAATTCACAGTAAGCCTGCTTAATCTAAAAATGAAACAATGCTGGATCTTTGGTTTTGATGTGAACCCTATCATTTCTTCCTGGAGGAACTAGCTAGTGTGCACAGAAAAGAAACTCAAGCCAAGCAACAATGTTTATCTTTGGCAAATATAACAGGGTAAAGGAATTAATTATTACTTAATAAAAATGGTTTGAGAGACAAAGTCTTTGAAAACATGGGATCTACCAGAAACTTGTGACAGCCAGTCTTGGCATGCAGTTTCAAGATACTGGAGAACCACCACCCAGGCCCACTCCGTGATGTGTGATTTTGCTGAGGCACTACAAAGCTTAGTAACCAACTTGTGCTTCAGAAGCTTTGTTCTTTATTCAAAATCACTTGTCCGAGAGCCTTTGTGAGATGATGTTTAAAAAATGCTCACACCTGTGTTTCACGCAGAGTACAGGAAATGCAGTGTCAGTGTTACCATAGTAATGATGTAACTTGATGCAGTTAGCAGTTTATTTTAGCCATAGCATTTGTTTTAATGATTTTGCAAATGACTTTCTTCCTGTATTTCACAGTCATCAAGGGTATCAAGGGGTCATATGAATCTTCCTGGAATATTTTATTGCAGCATTGAATGAGAAAAAGCTGTATGCCATGGTAGATATTTATAAATGTGGGTGTTTGCAAAGCAACTGGGATATATTCCTCAGGAATGGCAAGGATCAAAGTAGAAAATAAGTCTATTGTGATAAAAAGATTGAATTTTTATCTATCTCAAAGTGCTCATTTCACAGATGAAACAGAGTGACTTTTCTCAAGGTGACTTAGATGGTAGTGCTGGAGCTACAATTAGAATCCAGCTACCAACCTATAGTCAAGAATTATTTCTATAGTGTATAAATGACAACGGGGGCTATCACCTGTGGAGGTAAGCTGAAGGAAAGTCAATGGGAAACAAAAGAAAAGGTAAAACACCATTAATGAAGTTCCCCACTGTGGATTATCTCTGGCAGGTTTTTAATCACAGGGTTGGTCTGCCATCCCTAGCCATCTGTGCTATTCATAAATTTACTCTTAAAATGTTTTTCCTCAAACAAATGCAATTATTTTTCTAGATCATTTCTTATTGTAGAACCTTTTGGAACTTGGTTTTGCCAACTTCACTAAGATGGCAAACATTTTTGACTTGCACTTCTCATATTTATAATCACTCCTGATGCTGTTTTAAAAGCATCTCTTAAAAGGAAGACCAGTGCCCTTGAGATGGGGCTGGGGGCCTGGCAGAAATTACAAGCCCCAGTTAGTTTTTTATTCATTTGAAATTGGTTTATTTTTGGCAGTCCAGTGAGTACATGGATTGAATGATTTTGCTTTGGAACTTATGTTTAATTTTCTCAAGATAATTAATATGAATGATAAAGGAGGATAAATCAAGTCCCCAATGTGATGAGTCCCATGCTGTTAGAGTAGATGCACTGCTAGAGTATATGGTTTGCAGAGACAGATGGTACTTGGCGTATAGAAAGGATGAATGCCCTTCAAGACACCTACGTCAATTAACTGGCTCACTCACTCATTTTAATAGATTATTTTTTTTACTCTATTAAGAGCTTTTACTAGCGCATTGAGTGCTTTTAAAATATTCTGTATTTAATTTGGGACATATCCAAAATTCAAGGATCCTGGGACGCTTGGAGGATATCCAGACAGATCATTATTGAGAATGATGAAAGGGAATGGGAAATGCATATATTGAGCATAACAAGAAGAAATGTAATTTCCAGGATGGTAAATAGCTGCTGTATTTTTATTCCAAGGAGGTCAAAGCAAGAAGAAATGAGCATAAATTATACCTGGTATGAATTATGGTGGACAAAATGTACAATGTCCTGGTACAAGTACACAATCTGAAGTTTTTTCCACAGGTAAAAGTGGCAGGCAGAGAAAATATGGCAATGCACTATGGCTTACATTATTCTTCAAGTTAAACTATACCAAGGAAAAAGTGGAATTACAGTTGGATTTAATAACATTAAGTAAGGAGGGGGAAGGAGGCAGTAAAAAAGCTGATGACAATGTAAAGAGACAGCAAATACAGTGTAAAGCGGTGTTCTTGTGATTGAATTGTATCCTTGAAAATTAAATCAACTCATAATACAAAAAATTTTGTGTTATTTTGGTATTTCAATCTCTCTCCTAGCAAATTAATCAAAATTAACTGATTTATTTAAATTTAACTTCTTTAAAATTGCCTCTTCTCCAAAGGCCTAATTATTAGTGTAATGGGATTTTAAAAACAAAGGGTGAGAGTTCACTAGGGATGACTTTCCATTTCTCTAAACTTTTATTAGGTACTACATTAATTCCTCATTTGAAAAAGAAGGATTCAAACTTTGCATCCTAAACTTAAAGATGCATACAAATTACCTAAAGTTACTGATAAAAATGCAGATACTCTTATTAATAAGAGTTGGTAGGCTCCAGATCTGCACCATCCAATTTAACTATTCATCTTTTGAAATGTGGCTAGTCTGACGAGGAATGTAAGTGTGAAACAGACAATGGATTTTAAATATTCAGTATTTTTAAAAATGTGAACTACTTCAATTTTTAAACTGATTACTGTTGAAATGATATTATGGGTATATTGGGCTCTGTAATAAACACTAGTAAATTTATTTCACCCATCTCTTTTTATTTTTCTTTTCTGGGAGTACTTCATGCTCTGGATTGAACCTGGAGCCTTTGACAGGCTAAGCATGTACTCTTGTACTGAGCTAAACTTCTTACCCCTAAAATTTTAAATTACATACGTTGTTTTAATTTTTATTGGGTAGTGCTAGTTTAATGTTTTATATAAAGAGATATATACCATATATATTTAAAATATAGAATTATTTCCAGAGGTCCTTTACAGATCAAGACATTTCTAGCTTAGAAAAATTTCAGCCTGTTTTTTTTTTTTTTTTGGCGTTGCTGGGGATGGAACCCAGGGCTTCATACATGCTGGGCAAGTGCTCTACTGCTCCTCCTCAGCTCCCATCCCTCATCTTGGCCTTTTAATCTCACACACTAATGACCAAAAATGAGAAGTCTTTTACTGCACATCTCAGAAAAGAAACCTCCTTTTAGCTAAACTAGATGATAGGCTTTGCTTTCAGACAACAGCACATTCAAGACCTGGAGCACCATGGCACCAGTGGACCAGCTCATTCTCTCTCTCAATGGTCTCCCCAAGCTCAGGTGGCCAGTTGCAATTCTGTTCTTGTTCCATGAGGAAGTCCACACTCTGCCACACCAGTTCACGATCTGCAGGCTTGAGGTGCTCATGGTAAGAAAGAAGCATCTGGAGAATGGATGACAGGCCATGAGCTGCCCCTATATGGACAAACAAAGCATAATTCATCCACACAATAGGGAAGAGAGCCACTTTGATTTAGTGGAAAGATAATCACAGAATAAAAAATAGCAGTATTACTTGAAAACACAGAGTACTATAACAATGTAGTTGCTGAAGAACTAGGCTGCTGGCAAGCTATAGCCTGCAGGCCAAATGTAGGCCACTGTCTGTTTTTGTGAATAAAGTTTTATTGGAACATAGCCACACTCATTTGCAGAGTGTCTACGGCTGCTTTAGTGTTATGACAGTTTAAGAGTTGTATTTGTGACAGAGACCATATGGCCCACAGAACCTAAAATATTTACTGTCAAATTCTTCATGGAAAAAGTCTGTTCACAACCACTACTTTACAAAAGAAGAGCTTTTTCAAAACTATAATTAGCCTATCAACACTTTTTATGAAAATGCTTCTAAAGTACTTGAAAATAATTTGGTCTAGGTATCCTAAACATTCGTTCACTCACTCAACACAGAAGTATTAAGCATTTACTGTGGCCTCAGATACTGTTCTAGGTGCTGAGGTTAGGTCAGTGAACAAAACAGAATAAATCCTTCTGTAAACATTCATAAGTAGCATTACTTTACTTAATTCTTCACATTTAATAATTCACTTGTGAATAGGAGATTGTCTTGACCTGGGGATACACAGATGGATATGAATTTGTCCATACCCTTGAAGACTTTCCAATCCAGTTCGGTGAGAAAGTCGGATTGGTAAATAACTAGAACTTGAGCTGTTAGGTGCTTTATGCTAGGTTAGTGCCAGGAGTGTGATGCTTAATTTTATGTGGCAACTTAACTGAGCCACATGTTGCCCAGATATTTCGCTAAACATTATTTCTAGGTGTCTCTGTGAAGGTTATTTCTGGATGAAAATATCATTTGAATCTGTAGACCAAGTAAAGCACATTGCCTTCTCCAATGTGGTAGGCCTCATCCAATTCACTCAAGGCCTTAATGGAACAAAAAGGTTAAGAAAGAATTCTCTAGGTCAGGCATCACTCTTCTCCTCCCTTTGGACTTGGGCTCACATTGCATCTTACAACATCAGCTTTCCTGATTCTGGCTTTTTCAGCTTCCATAAATCTTTGAGCCAGTTCTTTACCATATAATATTTATTATAAGGAATTGGCTCAAGCAATATATGAAATCCATTTGTCTGGAGAACTTCGACTAATACAAGGGGCTAGGAGAGAACCAAGGAAGGAGAGCTTAACTTGGCTTCCGGGGTGGAGGTGGAACTGAAGGTTCCAGGGAAATGGTGTCTTCTGAACAAACCGTTCTAGCAGAGAGTACTGAATTAGCAAAGGCCAGAGCCTGAGCCAGTCTTTGAAAAAGACATTAGCTTAACAAAGGGGAAAGGCACCCCAGTCTCTGCAGGAATTTTCACTCATTCCCTATTAGTAGAGTCTTAATTAGTTGTACTGGGATTAATACATCCCAAGGGCTATTTCTTTAAACTAAGCCCTCTAATTTTAAAGCCTTTTCTTTGTATTTGGGCACTTTTCACTTTGCCATACTTGGAACTCTTCATTCTCCAGAAACAGACTTACAGTTGTATTTGGTTAAAATTTTAATGATTTTAAAATTTGGTCATGAAATGTCAAAGTACCTTTTTTTGCTGGATTTGCAATTGTTAGAAAAAAGCTTGCTTATTCAGGAAAATGTTTATACATTTGATAGAAATCTGGTTTGTATGTCATTGGCCAGAATGTTGATTTATCTTTTAAAACATTTCAAAAATGAGAATAACTCTCTATTCTCAGGGGACTAGAGCAGCCACTGCTTGTGCCCTGCCCCATTCACCATTCAGATACCCCCACCCTCCCCATTTCCTACTTCAAACATCTATCATTCTGCCTGAAGTTTTCTCTAGCCACAGGAGCATACTCAGCTGAAAGGGACAGTGTAGAAATACTAAGAAATTAACACCTCTGAAGGAGTAGATCAGTAAAGCGGGGAGTTAGTGGATGAATACCTGAATTTCCTTAACTACTTCAGTGAGACAACTGAAGCATGTTCTACACAGTCTCTAAGAGTTCCCAAAGGACTTGAGCCTCAGTTGTCCACAGTTGCTCACCATTACACAATTAGCTTCTTTTTCTTTCCTGTCTTGTTTCCACACTCCTCTACAAAGGCTTTCTGGGATTGCCTGTTGAATAAAACTTTTACACTTAAATCCTTGTCTCTAGTTCTGATTCTAGGGAAACCTAAACAGGAACTTAACAATTCTTTGAGAAAATTCTCAGTAATATTGTTCAGTAGCCATTAATCCACACATTTGAGTACCTTCATTATGTGGAGCCTCTGTAGTAAAGGACTAAGTATCACAAAGATAAAGGAGAATACAGTAAGTCCCCATCCCGAAGCTGCAAAAAGGCCACTAAAGTGGTTTGATAGGTAAGCCACTAACACTGTCTTATGTGCTGAGGGCTCCAATAAAATTGTGGGCAGGGTGACATGATGTTAACTCAATTTGCTCAGGAAAAATCTGAAAAATGTAAATGCTTCTCCAGAGAGTTCAACAATCCTTTTAAGGAAGAGAAAGTATCTCCACAGAGCCTTTGATGTTGGTGCAGTCTTGCATTCTGGGTATTACAGGTAGATGAGGGATTTAGGGGAAGTGAACATTCTAGGCAAAAGAAATATGCACAACGGTATGAAGATGTGAGGACATTTTATGTGTGGGAGACTATGTTGAACAGAACCTGAAGTGGGGAGATAAAGTTTGAGTCTGGAAAAACAGGCAGGTGGTCTAAAAAAGGGCCTTGCAAATCTTATTCAGGACTCAAAAGGGGAGTAACTAATTTACTCTTTACATAGTTCCAAGTTCAGAATTCATCCTTGTGATTTAGTAATTTCTTATTAATCCACTACTATTAAAAACTTTAAAATGTTAGTGGCTGAAATCTGTTTCCCTAAGCAGAGGAACTAATTGCAATCAATGTAAAAAATATTCAGGATCTTTCAGAAAAATTGAACCAGGTATGGTTGCACATGCCTGTAGTTCCAGCTACTGGGAAGGCTAAGCCATAAAGATCACTTGAGCCTAGGAGTTCAAGGACAGCCTGGGCAACGCAGAGATACTTCATCTCAAAAAAGAAAGAAAGGATGGAAGGAAAGAAGAAAGTGAAGAAGGAGGGAAGGGAGGGAGGGAAAGAAGGGAGCAAAAGAAGGAGGAAGGAAAAAGAAAGAAAATGAAAATTAGGCCAATAGGCTTCCTATTTAAAATAGAGATTTTAGTATTTAGTGAAAGTGATTGTTAATACAACTACATCTCTGTCAGATCTCTGTCAGTCAGACAATGAAAACAAATATTAAATTGTGATTTGTCATATCTACCAATATTTTTTAAAATGATATTGTAAGTATTTCTTTTCAATGAATAGTGATCACCTATATCAAAAACAAAAGGTTCTACTCTTTAGTTCGTGTTAATAGTGGAGACTCCCTCCATTTTACAGGCCTATGCCAATGCCTCCACTCACCCAAGTATTCAGTTCCATAGTAAGAGTACATCAGGGGGAATGGTTTCCTTTTCTTCATGGCATACTGCTTCCCAGAGTCCAGGATCCCCTGGCAAATTGACTTGATCTGTGCTGGAGTCAGCACCTGATTGAGGAAATCAAGAAGCAGAAGTCAAAGCAAAATCCTTCTCCAGACATTAGATTTTATTTATTTTTTTGCTTGAAAAGTCCATCAGCATATCCCCAGCTTTCCTTTCTATATGTAAATAATCTCAGCCAACTACAATTCATTTTTTACACTGATTTTCCCTGTGATGTCACATTTATCTATCTTCTTCAGAAAATTCAGTTTTGATAGAAACACACCTTTACTATTGTAGGCTGTTATAAGATGCAAAGACCATCTTATTTCTGTTATAACGTTAATCCTCATCACAGGAACAAGAATTAGGTCAGAAAGGAACAAACAGTGGTGCAAACAGATCATGCTTAACAAAGTTGTTACTACCAGTTAATAGTACCATGTAAGTCTGGCCCAGACAACAAATCTTCAATTTGTGACTTTTAGACTATGCTCATAAAGCCATGTTTTATGACAAACTGCTGTATAACAGACTCATTGCAGCCATTTGCATTCCTTAAGTAAAGCCAAAGTCCAACAGTACCAAGAAAAACAACTTCTGACATCAAAATGACTCTGACTAAAGAATAGCTAAAATGTAGGGACCTGCAATCTACCTACAATCAATTTTAGGAGTATAGAAATTAAAATGTTTTCAAGTCTTCAAAGCATTATGGAGTTCATTAAGATTCTTCTCCTCGGGTTTGCACTGTGTTCTGTGTTCTGCCCTTCCTGGGGCAGACTAGACGCTTCCTTTGGCATGCTCCCCATGTCACCAGGCCTCGTGCTCTGGTGAAGCATTTATCACCTGCTGTGGTAGGTCTCTCCCACTAGACTATCAGTTCTTTGGGAGCAAAACTGCGCCATCTCACATTTTTGTATCTCTGGTGCCTAACAGAAGTTGACAGGGGCATTGGTAACTGATGAGTAAGTAAATGAAATGCCAGGTTTACTGATATGAAAAGAAGAATCTTTTATAGCTTCTTTCTTTCCTTGCTTTTCTCTCTCAGCCTTTTCTTTCCTCCTGTGATTACTTCGTAAGCCTCTACCCTATTCCAGACAAGCCTTTTCTAGATGTTGATGATATGTCAGTGAATATGACAGATAAGACCTCTGCTCTCATGAAGCCAACCTTCCAAAATCCAGACTTGCACAGAAAAAATACTGGGCAGATTAACCAGAAAAAGTCACCTAAAGTTCATCTTGCTTGATTGAATGAATCTAAGAAGAAATAAAAGTCCATTAGATTTTGGGCTCTCTTCTAAGACTCACATATCTCATTTTCCTACCTGATATCTGGCATTACACCCACAACTTTTTTGGAAAAAAGGTCCTAATGATGTAAGTATTAAGTTGCTCCTCTGATTCACCCAATATTAGAAGAGTAAAATATAATTCAGATGTTAGTTTCTATAAATCTAGTCCTTATTTTGGAAAATAATTACTTAATGAAGAAACTTTATGAATTAATCCTGCCAATTAACATTTATTGAACGATTATTCTAGTAAGACCCCACAATAGGTATTGTGGGGAAATTCCAGAAAACATAGTACAGATTTTTTCCTATGGGGAATCTACTGTCCAGTGATGGAGATAAGATACAGAAAAAAGTCTGCAACAGAGCAATTAAAGCTCAAGGAACCTAGAGATGGAAGCAGGCAATAATGTAACATATGTAATGGAGGACCTCTGGGTTTCACTAAAGATTTACTTCCTCCTTAGGTTTTATCTGCTCCAAAACAATTATATCATGGCTTTTCACTTAAATTTCCCTTTTATTGTTACCTATCTTTGTCTCTTGTTTTAAGCTGCCTTTCTACTTAAAGCTCCTGAAGACCTTATCTTTCTATGCATCTTCACTGTCAAGGCAAGTCAGTCCAAAGTCTTTCTTTAGCCTAACAGCAAATTTCTTCAGGGCTGGGATTTAGTTCAGTGGTTCTGCCACCTGCCTCAAAAGCACAAGGTCCTGAGTTTGATCCCTGGTACCCCTCTAAAAAAAATTCTCCTTAATGATTTCCTACTCTGCACCCATTCAAATTCCTACTAAGTTTTTTATTTGCTGTTGAAAACATTTACTCTCTGCACCTTTATCGTAACCTGATCTTATATCCAGTCTTACTCAAAACCTTGCAACATTAATCTTAAATCAACCCTTCCATCCTGGCTCTCACTCAGAAACCTGCTAAGAGCTTTAAAGGGCATTCACTTAATAGCATTCTATCCTGGTTCCTTCCCATATTTTTCTGGGAGACTATTTTGCTATTTGACTGTATGCAGGGCCTGTGGTCTATATACTGATTTTAATCACTATGACAGAAGCAGTTTTTTGCTGTAGGAAATGGTCCCTAAATTTTCAGAGATGGGTTAATTTGAATTACTAAAATTTTCCTATTTAATTTTCATTACTATAACTGAAAATTGATTTATTCTTTTTTTCAGTTGAACATTTACTTGTGTATTTTTGAGTTCATACATGGTATTTGCCTGTTTGTTTTGAATCCAGAGAAAAAAATCGAGGTGATATATATGGTGCTCTTCTCATTTTTTCCATCCCTAATCCACAGCTTGGAATAGGGAATAACTTTATAAAATATTATTTCAAAACCTCCTCTGGTCATGTACCATGTCTGGGTGGTTTCCTCTTATCTTTCAGAAACACTGTGAAAAACAAAGAGAAACTGGGGCTTGTTCAGCTGGATACAGACCAGTTATGCATGCAGGTTTTTTATCTCTGAGAACAGACAAGACCTACCCATGACTTTATTGATCAGCAAATAAGAACTGAAAATAGTGCTCATTAAAAGTCTGTGTGTGGGGAACACTGAGAAATAATGTGCCCCACTACCCTCCTCCCCCATGAACAAAGAGTACAAAAAGAAAAAGGGATATAAAAGACTGGGGTAAGGGGCCAGATCTAATTCTCATTTCTCTGCTTTCTCAAACACCCCTCCATTTCCTGTTATGAGCACACAGAAACTTGCACATGAGCATGCCAACTCCCTCTGAGGTCCTGAGAATGACAGAGAAGCATTTCAAGTAGAGGAGAAAGGTGACTGCATATGGCTGACAGGGGCTCCCTGCCCATCAGGTTCTTGGCAAAACAAGCCCAAATTCCCTTTCTTGTATTGTTAACACTCAAGTCCCATACATATGTTAATATTTTAGATAGATTAGGTTCTTTAAATCTTTTTCCCCTACATTGAATTAAAATAAAGATATCTCAAAAGAAAAGCAAGTCTGAAGTGGTTTGTTTAAACACTTTCATTAATTTAATGGATTCCCTTCACTGATCCTGTGAAATATTCCTATTGTGCTGGCCTCTAAGTATGAAGAGACAAGAGAGCAATAAAGCACAAACTACGATTCTTGGCCCTCCCTGAAAGTCATGCTATGACCGAACCACATCCATGCAGAGGAGAGATGACCTTCATTCAAGAAACAAGTAAAATGGACCAAGCCACAGAATGCTTGTCTTACTATAGATCTTTTCCCCGGGGCAAGTGTCCTGCCCACAGTCTCTCTGAAATGGTAGTCTTTGCTGGCTATATTTCTTGTTCTTGGCATGAATTATCTCCTGCCCTTCTCTTATCAGCACTGATTGAATTCATGGATAATGGCAAGTGAGTCCTGAGTGTGCCAAGGTCTACTATGTGCATCTCAACAATATTAAATGCATATTCCAAAAAAATTTAAGCTGTCAGCAATCACAGCTGATACTGAAGGCAGGTCAGGGGGTAGAGCTGGGCCCATGTGCCAAGTGAATTTTGGCGGGAATAAGCAAGTGCCCCGAGGGACAATGACAGAATAAACTACCCAATACCATACATGAAAAGGACTGGGGCAGATACACTAAGAGAAACTGATACTGGAAGAAATTGAGAGAAAGGTAGCTTAGTGCTTATACTTCCCTTAGTTCCCAACAGTTTAGGACTACTTCCTGCTATGTTTCCATAGAACACAAAAACCCATCCTTCTGCCTCTTCCCTTTACTTCAGCTATTTGAGGAAGTCTAGGGTTTTTTGTTGTTATTGTTTTGCAAAAAGAGCCAACAAGAACAAGCACTGACTTAAAGTCAACTCTTACTTTTCATTCCTCCACTCTTCATATAAACACATTTACTTATCATACTAGATCCTTTTAACCAAAATAACAGAGACCTCTTCACCTAAGGTACATGATAGGGACCCACCTAGCCTGGAATTATATGTCTTCATACTTTTGTCAAAAATCGGGCCAGGGATTTAGCTCAGTGGTTCCACTGCCCGCCTCACAAGTGCAAGGTCCCGAGTTCAATCCCCAGTATAAAAAAAAAAATCCATTTGAGACACCTGAGATCTGAGAATTATCTGCTCCTAAAAATGTTGTCCCTGGACCAGCAGCGTGAGTATTACCTCGGAGTGTGGTAGAAATGTATATTCCCAGACCCTAACCCAGACCCTTTGAATCAGAAACTAAGTTTAACAAGATCATTAGGTGGTGTGCATATATATAAAAGTTTAAGAAGCATTAACTTAAAAAAATCCATGAATTCTTAAAATTCCCCAATATTAATTTAAGTCCCAATAATATTGTATATCTGGATTACATAAATCCAATTTTCCACTGTTTTCAACTACGACTTTGTTTTCTTTTTTTTGTCTTCTTTTTTTAAAGAACAATTTTTTAAATAAAGTCTCTCTAAATTGCCTAGGCTGGCCTTGCACTTGAGATCGTCCTACTTTAACCTCCCAAGTAACTGGGGTTATGGGCATGCATCAGCACACTGGACTTGTACCCTTGGTTTCTGTGTGAGGGAAAGGTTGACAGAAGAAACAGACAAGATTTTGCAAAATTGCTATTGAAAATATTTTTTCATAGCTTTCTAACACCTCTCTACAAAGGCCCAAGTGATAAGCTCTCCTCTTATCCCACAAAACAAATTGAAAAGCTTTGTTTTATCATAAAGGAACAAGCAAATGTTTCATTGTAGGCATGAATGACAAGAAGCAAAGCTAATTAATGCAGTGATATTCTTTAGAGGTTC